TTTTAAAGCCTCTAATATGCATTTTACCGACCGGTAAGAAATTGGGTCCGACTCATTCTATCAAACTAAAGCAAGAAGATAATAACAAATGAAAAAAAAAAAAAAAAACTTCTTTACTTGGTTTGGCCATGTAACCCGACTTGATATGCGACATTAACAAGTGATACATAAAAGTTGTCCGGTATGCTTATGTCAGAATATTGTCTCTGATAGGTTGAGTAGTGGAAATATTACTTTTTATATTAAATATCTCATTGCAAAGATAGTATTTGGTGTAGACATTACTCTTGGATGATGTATTGCCATGCAGCTATAACTATTTTTTATAACTTGATTCGAATTCTATCAATAAAAGATCCTCCATATCGGATCATTTGTCTTAGTCATATACTACACCAACTCTTAACATCCAGTTATTTCGAATTTTGATTATATTATATGGACCAGAATCCTGATATGCTTAGACTAGAAGAACAATGTCCTTTCAAAAGACAAGTTTTGTTCACCTAATGACACTTAAAACTACAACAAACTCCACCTCTCAACTATTACAAAACCAAGTTTTCTCCAAAACAAGTATAATCGTAACCGAGATATCCATGGTATTAATTTCCTTTTAGTAATTAGTTTCTCGGCTTTATAACTGCAAGCATCGGATTAAGCTTCTGTGTTGTGAGCCCAAGCGTATTGACATCTTCTTCAACATCATCTTTAAGTCTCCACTCAAACTCTTGAACCATTCTCCCAATCCCCACGCAAGCAAGCAACATCGCCTGCATCGCCCCGGCACACACTCTTTTCCCCGCTCCAAAAGCCATTGTTTTTAACATGTTGTTTGGTTCATTCTCCGCAAGAAACCTCTCTGGACTCCACTCCTCAGGGTTTTCCCAGATTTCCCTCTCCATATTACACCCATATATATTCACGGCAAGCTGCAAAACATCATATGATTAATTACAACATTTCAAAACTAACATTTGTTTTGTCGGTGTCCAACATGTCATGGTCTCTTTGGAGACATCATCTCGGATTCCACATATCTTATATGAATGTAACTAATAAGGTCGTGATCATGTAAACAAACCTCAGTCCCAGCAGGAACATGGTACCCTCCGAGTTCTGTGTTCTCGTGTACATATCTTAATGGGATTATGGCAACTGGACTGTGAACTCTCAGTGTTTCGTGAAAAACAGCAGATAAGTAGGGCATCTTGCACAACTTCTCCTCGGTGATCTTTTCTGACGTCCCACATACATTTCGGATTTCATTGTAGAGTCGTTGTTGCTTGTTTGGGTGTTTTGAGAGTTCATACATTGCCCACTCTGTTGTCACCATGGTGGTATCTGCTGTTTCAATGATCGGTTCCCAAAGTGACATCAGCAATTGTTTCTCGGTTAATGGTTGTGCCTCCGACAGCAAGTAATCGATGTAGCTATCCAAATTCTTATTTAGGGAGAAAACAAAAATCAGGTTAAGATTATCAAATAATATCCTATTTGTGAGTACAAGAACTATGGAGTAACATGCTATACCTCTCCAGATTCTATCCGGTTTCTGTGTTCTTGAATCAGGGCCTTCATCACTGCCTTTCTTCGGATGTACATTTGTTCGATTTTCTCCTCCAATTTGGCGTTGGGTATCCACTTAAGATACGGGAAGAAGTCTCTCCAGTCGACTTCTATGGCACCCATCATTGGATCCACAACCAAAATCTGAAACATCTCATCTCTTGTCATGGTGGTTCCAAGATCACCCACGTAAATGCTTTCCATATCTCTCCCAAATGTCTGGAAACATTATATATGTTTATTATATCATTCAAACTTTCTCTTATAGCTTAGCAAAAAAACTATCACCTGTTTGAATGCTAGCGTGAAAAGTTCAGACTGGAAAATTTGCCGGAGGTTTATTGCTTCCTGAGGAGAATTTGGAGCCAAAACATGAAGTTGTCTTGAAAGATTATCACCCATGGCGTCTCTATGGGCGCGATGTCTCTTTTGAGCAGCTGGTCCTAGGATACTAGTGAGTAAGTTGCGTTTGACAGTTTTGTGATAATCGTCATAATCGCTCATGGCGACCATGGTTTTATCGGCTGTGAGGATCTGTAATGCCTTTGAAAGCTTTCTGGTTGAGATGGAATCGAATCTGGTCACCATAGCCTGTGGCATCGTATTAAAGAAAGAACTAATGACTCTAACTTCGAATATAAACACATATTTAGTTCGCAGTCATGATTCATATAAATGATATGTGTAGCACCTCTTTGGCAAGCTGATTCGAATTAACGACAACCATGGAGCTGGCTCCAGTTTTAATGGAGTAAATAGGACCATAAGTTTCTGCCCATTTTGTAAAAGTCTTGTAAGGTTTCTTCTCCTTCAACTCAAGCAAATTCCCCAACAATGGCACCCCGGGTACCGCTGCAATTTTCATTTACACTCATCGTCTTCACATAGAAAACATATGACTAAATTTGGCTTTCAAAAACATAAAATTTTGCTAAACACCTTTTTCTAGAATGCAAAATGGACATGAACAAGAAAGAGAGAAGGAGGGGTGGTGATGGATTACCGGGAACAGAAGGGAGATGATTTGGATTACCAGGTTGCTGAGAGAGAAAACTTTTGAGAAACAGTAGAGAAATACCACCGGCAACAGCCACCGCCGGACCACCAAATGCAATTGCCGCCGATCCCATTGGTGCCACGGTCTGTAAATCCATCTTTGTGCTTATCCTGGAGATTTGAATGAAGAGGACAACCGATTGATGGTGTGGAAGTTGATGCATTGGTATATATAAGAAGGCGAAATGGAAGAAGATCCACGAAGGGTGTTGGTACTTGATCCTTTTAGCAAATATTGTCGTCGTATGCCCAGTAGATTCCAAGAGTATCCTGTTCTAAGCAAAAACACAAGTGAACTTATTCTTATATGTTTAAATAACATAATGAAAAATTGAAAATTGAGTAAATCACAGATTTCCTACACGTGTTATAGTGTTATAATGGTTATTTTGTATACCGGCTATTATACAAATTTTTTAGAAATTAAATATTTTTCTATATTTTCTTCAAACTCATACTTTTACTAATGTTAATGATAACATGTGTCAAGGTGATAATATTTTAAGAGAAATTAAATTGTTTTCTGCCTTTTATGCCTATAAATATTTCTACCCAGTAATATTATTATAAGTGTCACAATTCCATATTTTTTTAACTATCTTATTAAGAATATATTAGGAATATATCAAATCAAATTAAATTGATTGGTAAATGATAACACATGTCATAATATTAGTGGGTAAGAATATATATAGACAGAAAAAGTATGAGACAATTTAATTTCTTATATTTTAATACAGTCACCAGAATTTAAAATGGATAGACGGATAATAAAATGAATAAACGGATATGTAGGAATTAACGTAACATACATTTTGTATTTTTGTCCTGTAAACCGAATCAATATAATATATTATTTAAGTATTTTAAAATATAGATCCGAATAATTTAAATAAATTAAAATACGATTCGAACTAACCAAATTATAATGTTACTACACATTTCCGTTATTTAGTTTTTAAAATTTAATTCATTCAAAATATGTCTAACTTAACATAAATATGTTTTATTTATAAATGATAAAAAAACTCAAGTAAAAAAAATAAAAACACATGGCTTACTTGTGAATTAAAATTTATATTATTCTAACTCTTTTTTTATACGTTTTCTAGTTTTATTTAAAAAATGTTAACAAATATATAAATATATCAATGTTACATAAATTGGCCTTGGCGGCCGTTTAATCATTTGGCGGCCTTGAACCGATTACGATTACGGTGTTTGGCGGAAATTTGTCAAAATCGAACTTGGCGGCCTTTGGTGGTCATAGACAGGAAATATTTAAAAAATTAAAATTTTTTAATTTTCAAATATTACACCAAAATTTTCAAATTTCAAACTTTTAAGTTTTCAAAATTTAAAAATTAATACTAAAATTTTCAAAAGTTTAAATTTTTAAAATTTAAAATTTTCAAATACTTATTTTTTTAGTATATATTTATTTTTTAAATAATTTTATTAATAACTTAGGGTTCTCGATTAATCTCCGATTAATCGCAGCCTAGTCCGATAAATCTCTTAACGTCAGTCGACCGCCGAACGATTTTTACAACCTTGATATATATATATATATATATATATATATATATATATATATATATATATATATATATATATATATATATATATATATCAATCAAAAGTCTGAAATTCAAAATAACAATCTGTTCTTGGTAAAATAAATTAAGACAATCTAAAAATCCAATTACTCGGAACATATAGTTATATTTAAATTGTTCAATAATACAATATTGCTTATCAATGAACAACCTTAATACTTCCATCACTAAAATTAGTACTTAAGCTTTTAATTTAGAGTGTCTCCAATGGTATGGGTTTTGAGTTTGCTTTGCTTTTTCTTCCTTGCTTTTGACCTCTAATACATCTTACATGGTCCATGCTTTTGATCATTAGAAGGTATGTTGTCTTAAAGGTCGAGACATTAAGTATATAAGCATGTAAACGGACTTCACTAACCTATTAATCCATGCATTTAAAACCATCACTTGCTTCATTTCTCTCTTCTCTTCCTTTAAGTGTTAGACTAGTACGTTAAAAGAGCTTGATACTTACACTCTCCTTTAAGAAAAAACTCGGGTTTGTGCTTAATGGCTTTTTTGTGGTACATTAGACCACTAAACTACATTTTTACCTTCTAATTACACCATTTTTCAAAAAAAATTAGACGGTTTACCAGTGCCACTACTTATGTGGCTGGGTGATGTGTCCAATAAGCTTACGTGTAACACGAAGAAGGTGAATCGTCCAACAACCCTTATTAACTGAAACCCTGAATCGGACCACTATTAAAATGTTACTTACCCTTTTGTGAAAAGTCAAATCCTCTCCACCAAGTCTTGCCATCATCAAGAACAATGTCTTCTACCTCACCTACTTCAAGGAATCAGCTACAAGTGACTTGTGTTCATATGCGAGAAAGGGTTAAAGCTTTGCGATTGCAACATTCCAGCTAAAGAACAAACGTGTTGTAAGATAACAAACCTTGGGAGGCTTTTCTAGAATTGTCGAAACAGTTTGGTAGGTCCCAATAATCATGATCATGCTACTTTCGTTATAGCATAAATTTTAGGGTTTAACTGTGGTGTTTCTTCGTGAAAATCCAATCATGCTACATTTGTATTTTGAAAAAAAAAAACCCTAATTTTATTTTCTTCTTGAGGAATCTTTGTAATCGTGAATGAAACCCATTTCATTAATACATTTAAAGGCAGCTGATTTCCTTAATCTTTATTTATTATCTAAATATAAGCATTTGCATTTTTAATGGATTGGCTATTTATAGACTAGGCACAAGAAAGACAAAATTGCAAAAATGTTCCCTGTGGTTGGCAAATTTATGTGTTTTTAGTCCAAAACGAAATGTTGGTGCACCACTAGTCCAAAATTAGATCTTTCTATTATTTTTGGTTCCTATCAACATAAAAAGACTAGTATACCCTTATATTTGTTTTGTTTTATTTTTTTATCTTTATTCAAATGTTTTTCATTAATTAAAGTTGAGAAAAGGGTCTCTCTCTCTCTCTCTCTCTTCGTCTCATTCAGTTTCTCTCTCCATCTATCTCCCTCTCTAGACTCTCTTTCTCTCTCGCTTAGTTTCTCTCTCTTGGAGAGGACGAAGATGATGAAGAAGACCACAAAAAGCACAAAGATATGGTGTCAACGCGTTGCAGCATATCTATATCAAACAACAACAAACGATCATCGTCTTCCGAATAGAAACCCCCGTCCCCCAAACGCCAAAAGGTTCCAAATGCTCTACCCCCCGTAGTTTCACACACTTTTCTTCGTCGTTTTTCCAATTTCACCCTTCTTGATTGAGCCTTGATTTAATTTTATGTTTGTAGGCTGATAATGGTGGTGCATCGGAGAAATCGACGCCGCAGGAACCTTTGCAACAGTCGGTGATAGACAATTCGATAGCATTTAGTTCTCCAACGGCGCTGGATCCACCTGAAAATGTCGTAGCAAGTTATCAACGGAAAGATGGAAGTGCCGAAGGCGAGGTTGTTAGTGCTAGGAAGTCGGAGGCAGCTCCGGCTACATCCGTCCACCACCATCAATCTCGTATACCATCACCGTTCTCCACTACCATCTGTCGTAGTTAGGAAACCCTAACCCTCAGAAATGAAAACCATAGACCTAAAAAATTTAGATCGGAACCACCGACGAAGGAAGAAGGTTGGCTTCAGTGGTATTTTCTAGTGACAAAGAAAGCTGGATGGTGCCAGTGGTGATGATTTCTTAAAACTTTCGCCCTTTTCGCTGACGTCACCATCTTCGCTCTTTATTTTCTGGTAGGAGGAGGACGGGCGGTTCGGCGGTGGTAATGGTAACCGAGCTGGTCGTGGAATTAAAAAGATCTGGGAAGAGAGAAATGGGTGGGTCCAGGAGAGAGAGAGAGAGAGAGAGAGAGAGAGAGAGAGAGATAGAGAGAGAGGGGTAGGGTAGTGTTATTTTCTTTTTATTTTTTAATGAAAATAGTAATAAAAAGTTAAATATAAATAAAAAAGAATTATCAAAGGGCATATTCGTCATTTTAGGTTGGGTATGGACTAAAAACACAAAAAAATGCGAACCATAGGGACCAAAACCACATAAGGTATCTAAAATTGGACCAGTGGTGCACAAACATTTCGTTTTGGACCAAAACTGCAGAATTTTGCCAACCACGGGGACCATTTTTTCAAATTTGTCCTCAAGAAATGTAACTTCTTTGATTGGAATGACGATGAACATGAAGAAGGGTACTACAAACATCTTATATCTTCTATGAAGCGGAAATTCGATGCTAAAGAGGATCTGTAACGTCCCAAAAATACGACCCAAAAATTTTCATTTTTAAATTCATAAAATGGTAATCCAAAACATCATCATAAAACCAAGATGGATCAAAGTGTATCAATACATCATAAAATATCAGAGTAAATCACAAAATGCAGAATAAGGTATTGTATGCTCTGCAATCATCCCGGGCTCTTCCCTTTCGAACCAGAAGTACCTGAAACATAAACTAAAAACTGTAAGCACAAAGCTTAGTGAGTTCCCCCACTCGATATAAAGATCTGTCAATCATCAGACTCCGCATGGCATCAGGCCCTGCCCGATATAAATATAAATATATAAACATAAATCATACAAACAGATGCGATAATCACAAAGACAATAACATACAATACAGTCATTGGGCCCCGCCCGGCATCGGGCCTTGCCCGGTAAGAATACCAACACATACCACATGTAAGTGTCACACAAACATCTAGCATCCTAACATAATAAACCATGGGCCGGAATTGGTGCCTTCGAACCGCTAACCACAGTGAGGAAACTTACCTCAAACTACTGAATCACTCAGATAAATCTCTGCATGCTGGTCCGAAAAATCCCTGCGTTATGAATACCAATAACATCCAATTATTAATTGGATTCCAATCCATAATCACCAGTCTAATCTAGTGGGCCCATAACAAGTGAAAAACACCATTTTAACATCTATCTAACTTGACCCAATGCCAAGCCCAATTCAACTACTATGAAGGCCCAAATTCTACTTTGCAACCCAAGGCCCAATTATGGCCCAATCTTCCAAATTGGGCCCAAACCCATCATGGGACTAAAATCCAAGGAAGCCCAACATGCTAGTCCAAAGTCCAACATAGATGTCTGATGATCCAGAAAGGCCCAAACAATGGAAGCCCAAACATTAACCCAATACCGAAAAAGTCAAGTCCAATGACCATTTGCTGAGTATGCGTGGCGTACTCGGCTCGTACACTTAGCGTACTCCATCTGGGCTAGTACGCACAACATGCCATCTTGGTACGCCCTTCGTGCTCCCCCGTATGCCAACCTACTCCATTAAGCACTTAACCCGCTAAGTTCTTTATCCAAACTCTCAGATCTGGTCCATAAAGGTGACTTATAACGTAAAGTTGGCAACTTTACATGCATGCATGGCTTAATGGGGCTCAAGAGCTCAAAATGAGCTTAACCAAGGTCTTAATACATGCATGGTTCACAATACTCCATAAAGTTTGCATTTTTATGCATAAGGGACCCCTAAACCATCTAGATCTAAGGGCTAAGCTTCTAAAACAACCTTTACACACAAGGACCAACCAAAAGGGACCAAAATAAGCCATAACCAAACTAGATCTACACAAGGAGTTGACAAGCTAAGAACTTTATACCTCAAATGGATCGAAATAATGATGCTAAATCTGGATCTTTAAGCTCTACTCCAAGGAACGAGTCTTCAATCTCCTTCTACCACTTCAAGATGCACAAGAACACACCAAAATTCTTCACAAGAGCTCAAAAGCACCAAAACAAAGGCTAGGGGTGAAATTAGTGTTTAGAAGATATGGAGGATGGTTTAAAATGTCCAGGAGGTGAGTTTAAGATGCTTAAATAGGGCATAAACACTAAAAATTAGGGTTTATCCCAGGCCTACATACGCCATGCGTACTCCACGTACGCCCAGCGTATGTGGATGGGATCTGCGATCATCAGGAGGCTAGTACGCTAAGCATAATCATAGAGTACGCCCCGCGTACAAGCAAAGGACCATATTGAAAACAATTTAACATGAGGGACTAAAAGAGGAACTTACCCAAACTTGAATGTTACAATTCTCCCCCGCTTGAATCAGACTTCATCCTCGAAGTCCGCTGCTCTAAATAACTCTGGGTAGTGCTCCCTCATCTCATCCTCTGGCTCCCACATCCATTCTGAACCCTTGCAATGTTGTCACTGGACTTTCACCAACTAAAGAACCTTGTTCCTCAAGGTTTTAGTCTTCCGGTCAAGAATCACCAACATCGTCTCAATATAATTCAGGCGGTCATGCACCTGAATATCCTCCAATGGAACCACTGCGGAATCATCCACTAAACACTTCCGCAACTAAGAGACGTGGAACGTGCTATGGATCCGACTGAGCTCCTCATGAAGATCCAATAGATATGCAACCCGGCCCACCCGGGCCAAAACCCTAAAAGGACCGATATATATGGGTCCCAATTTGCCCATATTCTTGAATCGGATGACACCTTTACAAGGTGACACCTTCAGGAGAACCATGTCCCCAACCTGGAACTCTAGATTTGATCGACGTTTGTCGGCATAACTCTTCTTCTGACTCTGAGTTGTGTGGAGTCTACTCCGGACCTGCTGTATCTGTTGGGTTTTATATAATACAACATTCTATGGTGCACATAAAACCCTAAATACCTTGGATCTATGTTTTCACTAATTATACATGCAATGATGTTTCCAAGGTATTAAGCCTATAACTAGCATGCAATTGACATATACCATACAAGAAACTAGTTAGGATCACATACCTCTTATGTAGCTTGAAACCTTGTTGTATTTGGCCTTAAGAGCTTAGCACCAAAAGTATGAATGCCTCAAATGGCTCACAAGTCGCCTAGGACAAAGGTGGCTCTTGAGAGAGAATCTCCATGCACCAAAACACCTCATAAACTCCAAGAATATCTGTGTGGGCGTTTTTTGGCTAAGGAGTACATATTTATATGTTGGATTCCAAAGGTCATGGGTATAACCCAAATCCATACCCATGGGTTTTATGATCCATGGTTCATGTGGCCCAACTCTTTATGTATCCACACATAAACTTGGTCCAACATGGATCATAAGCCCAACACATATAAATATAACTAATTATCATAATTAGTCCCCATAGATTTAATTAGTCTCTTTTGATCACTAAATTAATTCCAAATTAATTCTTAATCAATATTAATTAAAACATATGATTTCATATTAATATATTAGAACTTATAATATATTAATATAAATCATATATAACCTTTTCTCAAGAGTCCATCTTAACAAATTGTCCTGTTGTTATGAAACTACCGAAACCGGCACCCCATGCCGCACTACAACCTCCCTAATGTATACCTCAACCAACTTCTCCACAAAGATACTCTCCTGAATCGGGATAAAATATTAGCTCTTGGTCAATCGATCCACGATGACCCAAATCGAATCCACTCCGCGCGCAGTCTGAGGCAACTTTGTAATGAAATCCATGGTAATCTCTGTTGGATTAGGTGTCTAAGCCCATAAATATTTTGGTATGTACTTGACCCGATTATGAGCATGGTCCTTTTGAGTTGCCTTCACCATAGCAACTAATAGGATGAATTAAGGAGAAAGAGGATTAATTATGATTAATTAATATGTTATGTGAATAATATATTAAAAGAGAAATCATATTATTTAATTAATATTGATCAAGAATTAATTTAGAATTAATTTTGTGGTCAAAAGAGTTTAATTAAATAAAGGGAACTGATACTATCATTATAAGATAGTTACAATGTTGGGCTTAGGATCCATAAGGAAGCAATGGACGAATTATATATGAGACTCCATATAGAAATCGTCCAAGGGGCCTTCTCGAAGGATCTTTGGGCTGCTTAAGGACTAAGCAACTGGATTAGGGTTTCCAAGTTGGTAACCCTAGAAGCCTCAACTATATAAGGACCCTTAAGGCTCCCAAAAACGTGGCTAAGCATTCTTAGAAGATCTTGGACTTTTTGTGCCTCTCCTCTCTCTCTCTCTCTCTCTTTCTCTCTCTCTCGTTCATCCTTATTGATAGTGGTGTTTGTGACTCCATTAGAGGTGCAACACTTGGGGCACTAAGCTTTCAGAAGTCAAGATCAAGAAGGTTTGTGATTGTTATTGCTACATAACAATCAAGGTAAGATCTAAACCCTAATTATATGTTAATTTCGATTATAGTATGCTAGATCTAGGGTTTATGAGCATTGGATGAGTATTGCATGTACAATTACAAAAACTAGATCCAAAGCTTTAGGGTTTGCATGTGCACCATAGGATTGATGTAATGCCCAAAACCCGTCAGTGGTATCAGAGACTAGGCTATTTATCTAATGTATTTGATGCTATGTTTGATCATTCAAAGCTGAAAATCTTGAAAAACTGGATCTGGAGGCTTGACTCGCCGAGTCCATATGTGAACTCGCCGAGTTCACTAGCAACTCGACGCGTCAAAAGTTGGCTCCACGAGTCGTAGGGTCAGATGCCATATTTTTTGGGATTTTGACCTATTTTG